TATGTTGTCTGGATATATGTATTTTTCAATTTTTTTCTTATTTTTCTATATTTCTGGGTTATTTCTTCACTATTGTTTGTTAGTATTTGCTTCCGTAGGTTGCTCTTTATTTCTGTCTGTTCTCTGCAGTCTTCGTCGGAGCACCTTTTGTCCTGTCTTTTCATATTTAACTTCGTATGGCTGTCTGTCTGTCTTTAGTAAATGTAGTTTTTATCCACTTCCATCTATCCTCAATATGCATGTCCTGATTTTCCTGGTTTATTTCTTAATTAAGTTTCGCTCTATAGCTTCCTACAATTTCCGGCTATTTAATTCGCTTACGCTGTATTGTATTTTTCTTGTTTTAGTTCTGATTTTACTTTACTTTAATTACTCTCCCACTTCGAACTTCAGAGATCACACTTTTTACTTCCTGAGCGTAAGCAAAGGAAGTGTTGTAATCGAGTACGTCGGCCGACGCTCTACTTTTAAGTTTTCCGACCGTTCATGACCCCTAGAGTACGAAGAAATAGGTCTCTCGTTTCCGTCTGTCTGTCCGTCTGTCTATCCGTCTGTCTGCCGTCCCGGATTTTTATTAGTTAGATAATCTCCGAAAGTACTGGGCCGATTGTTGTCAAATTTTGTATTTATATTAGGAATATTATGTAGATGGTAAAAGGCTAACCAAAATTTGCCTAATCATCCTCACCAATAATATGGTGATGTCATTTTAAAATTGCACATAGTAAATGGGTTTTAAATTGTATGAAATATCATAATGTAATGTACGATTCCGTATTGAGTTTTTACCTGAAACGTCCAAATTTTTGGAAAAAAATCAAAATTGTAAAACAACATTTTGCAATTTAATTTAGAATCTGCCTAACCGAATGCTTTGAAATCTTGAAGATGATTTACAGTTATGATAAGAATGATATATTTATAATCAAAATATATTTACTTATCCCCTCCAAAAAATTGATGACGTCAGCTCAAAAGTTTGCCAAATAAATTCTATCTAAAATGTACATGATATTATGAGTCTGTACTTGTGATTTATCATTTCATTAATATTATTTGGATTTGCATATACAGGGTGACTCAAAAAATTAATGAATGCGTGAATTTATTTTATTGATTTAAGCAGGAACGACAAAACCGAATGCTTTGAGATCTTGGATATTTTTAAAGTTATCATAAGCATGGTAAATTTTTGATCAAAATGTATGTAAACATTGATGACGCCACCCCAAAAAAAATCCAAGTTGATATACGTGTCCTTGTAAAAATGTTGATGACGTCATCACAAAATTGTGTAAAGAAAAAACTCAACTCGAAAATGCTGGATATGTTTCATTGTAAGACAGGAGCGAGGGAAGTTCTGTCGAAACAACTTTCGACCATTTTTTTTATTATTGTTAAACCATGTTTCGTAACATTATTCTACAATTTATATTTCAGTCTTCAGCTTTTCAATGAGTTGAAAAATTCTTTAGCGATAATAATTGTGCACCCTTTTAAAACACTCCCAGAACCATTATATTGTTACGAAATAACGCCACCCCGGTACGACGCCTATGAGTTTTCTCAAGGGCTTTCTTTGTATGTACGGCCTGGAGCGGGTTGCCGGAAGTCTCGATCGCGGGCTCCAGAAAACCCTCGACGCAACTCCAGAGGAACACAGGATGATTTAAACAGCGACCACTGTCAGAAACAAGTCATTGGAGTCCAGACAATGGGAGAAGTAGCGTCTAGTCAAATCCACTCCAGTCGAGTCGGAATTATTCTGTACATAATTGCTGTACATACTGTTAGGCCTGTAGTTTTGTATTACCGAGAAATAAATTGCTGACTTTTACCCAAGCTGATTTTTAATTAACGATCTTCGTTGCAATATTTAAAAATTATTATTAGTTATTACATAATGCATATAAAATACCGGTTTAAGTTTTGACCTAGTCATCCAAGAATTTGTTGACAAAAAAAAGAATTCAGCGGAAAAGAAGGTTGAACTTGCGAAATGGCACTGATTTTAGGCAACCTACCACAACACAAGTGGATGTTTTAAGAGACGACCTACGTAATTAGGTGACGCAATGAACGGCAAAAACTGGATCAGAAATTTAAAAAATCGCGGGTATATTAAGCTGGGGTTCTTGATTTTAAACTGTGGGTAAACTGATTGGATGATATAGTTTTTCGTCTGTCATAGTCATAGTCATAGTAGTCAGAAATAATTTTCCAACATTTTCTTTGAGCTAGTTTGACAGTTTTCTAGTTACTTCAGTTGTTAAATGCATTTTTTTAACGACATAAACAAAACGTTTAATATACTGCAATAAAAACAATACTTACAAAGGTGTTTTTTCAACTTTGTAAGGATAAGCCGGATCTTCATTATGAAGTGATTATACAGGGTGATTAAAAAATGACGGATAAGCTCTATGGTAAGTTGTTAAGAAGCCTTTAAAGACTCGAGAAAAATTGTTAAAAGAATCCCTGAGCCAAATTTTTTAAAATATTAAACTTCAAATTTGAACAATTAACTACGTAATTCTGATATATGTTAATGTGAATTTAATTGTCATTCCAAAATGACATTTGTCAACAGTAAAAAATGCCTTTGTGGATAATAATCATTTAATCAAACAATTTGTTATTAAATTATAAATCACTAAATATTTAACTGTGCGTTAGAGATGCAGTTCACTAAAGCAAATCGGAATTGAATTAAGAAATTTATTCTTCAACTTCGAAGTTAAATGTTTTTTAAAATTTGGTGCAGAGATTTTTTAACATCGATCTTATTCGTCATTTTTTATTCATTCAGTGCACAGTTCGGCGGGCGTGCTGACACTGGATGCAGCTTCATAAATTTTTGAAACTTCAGACGTCAAAGTGACAGTAAGCCATGGACTATATCAAAATTTTAAAAATGACAGAAAAATAATGTCCAAGAATTTCTGGCTGCGACTATAGATAGACTATTTTCTGTGGGATAAAAAGTATATCGTAAAATATTTGTTAATTTCTTTTTCCGTCGTAAGTTGGAAGAAAAACTGTGTACAAGTGTTGTCAACAAAAGAAGAAAATTAAAAAATGATTATCTGCCAGCCGAAACCAACCCAGTTATTCACAAGTTATATTTTGAGAAAATACCTACAACGATGGATTTGGCAATTGAAAAATTGTACAACATTCTTAAGAAAAAAATATCGTAACCCAAATTACTTTTTCGAAAAGATATTCACAACTTCTAAATTCTAGTCAAAATTTGACTTTTGTGTACCTCGATGAAACATGGATTTATCAAAACGATTCTTTCATTAGTCGCTGGGTGCATGACACAGATCTACAACGTGAACTTACTAAAATTAAAAATTAAGGATGGACCTTCACCATTCACAATTTAAGTTGTTCTACGGTGTTTTTAGAGTGTTGTGACAATGTATTAAATTAAAAAATGACGACAAAGGCTACCGCACAACGATGTACGGAACAATTTTACAAAATGGGGTGGTTAGAGAGCTTATTATTACTTTTTTTGGCCAAGTTAAACCAAGAATGTGTGGTGGTTATGGATAATGCACCGTATATTACGTTCAGTTCCAAAACCACACGCCTTTTGTAGTACAAAAGTCACAGGAATATCTAGTGTCGAATTTGTTACAAAAATTTCGAAGAAACAATTGTGGGATTTAATTAAACCTTGTTCTTAGATTACTTTCGCACCATTGTCAATATAATTCGAGTGGTCTAGAGTTTTTGTAAGAACTATTTTATAACGCCTTATTATCTGGATTGGCAACACATCTGAAGGATAAAAAAAATGTTGGTATTTCTTCATCACAGCATTTTAGAAACTTTCTGTATTACCCATGGAATAAAATATATTTGATTTCTTATGTTAAACCAACGCTTGTGATGAATGACGATAAATTGTTAAAAAAAAAAGATTTTTATAAGAACTGCTGATGCATTTAAAATGAAGACGTTGGAGAATTTTTGCTAAAAAATCTTTATAAGCAGGATTGACTTGGAATTTTGTGTTATCTTGTGGAAACATGAATAGAATAGGTAATAAAATTAAAATTTCCCTTGGTTGTTCGGACCAGCAATTATTTATATACACTATACACTTTTCTTTTTTATTTGTAACGTGGTGTTGATTATTATAATCAATTGATAATTATCAATTAATCCACGCCAGCTGGTCCTTTGTGCCTGCCAAATACTTCTCTCTTCCTACATAACAGTTATTTCGCGCTGCCAAACATGCAACTAAACTTCACCTTTCTGATAATTACACAACAATTCGTCACGCACTAACTGTTTTTTTCTTGATAACATCATGGAGATTTTAGAGCATCCGTATTCTGAAAACGTCCAAGGTTACTAAATTCTTGGAAACTCCAGATTATTATCAATTTTCATTAAAAATGATTAAATTTGCAAGATGTGTCGTGACCGGACTCTCCAACACCATTTTTTCCAATTTATGTAAAAACAGTATTTATAATGAATCTCCCTTAAGGGCATCCACAACACTCGCTTCAACAATGCACGCATGAGAAGAAATTTATTTTGATATTTACCGACAGTGGGCGCAAACCATGCTAAATTATAATGAATTTATAAATTCACAGAAATGTTTCGAATTTCTTAATGCTTTGTGCCCGCAACGACGCTCATAAACAGGGTGCAACCTTTGACAGCGCGTCAATAAATCTGATCTCATAATCTCATTCATTTCATTCTTTGAGATTACTTAAGTCACCATTATCATATCGTTAGCATCGATAATGAAATACACCAGCAAAGAGGCATAAAGATGCGTCGCATTGTTTAGAAAAAATAAAATGTACTGCGTACAGTGAGTTACAATGGACCATGTAAATAATCGCACTTCTCTACAAACAATGACAGATTATAACGATGTGGGAAGACGCAGCATGATGCCATTTACAATGTTGTAATAAACGTCTTCGATATGCAATTGAAGGGGGAAGTAATAACACCGAGTACATACATGTGGTAGTATAAATAGGAGAAGACTCAACAGTCCGTGTTTTAAATATTGTTTTGTTGCCATTTGTTACTGTGCCCATTGTGACGATGGACTGGACCAACGTAAGTACAGTGATGTGATTCAAAGGGTCATTTTTTATTAATATTATCACAAAAAAAATCCTGAAGTCTTGATACTATTAACTTTTTTTTTAATGTTGACTGTAAACATTTTTTAAATTTCATTCAAATTTAAGTTATCAATATTTAATCTAGATGTTGTTTATTTTATGGTCTACTTGAAATTTTTATTACACAATTTTGCATTTAAATAAATATTAACTGAACAAATTATTATCTTAAAGTTTAATTTTCGTTGGCTTGCAATGACCAAACTTATTTCTACTGGAAAATTCCATACCTTTTATCAAATTAATTTGACTTGATAAGGGGTGGTTTTTTTGAAAAATATTACAAAAGTGAAAAAGTTTGTCCAAATTCTTGATATTGGAATGTGTGTCAAAAATAACAAAATTTATAACTTTTTTTTTTTGAAATGTAGGTCTTATTTTTGACGACGTGGTTGTACTTGGCAAGTGGAGCTCCTCAGGTCGGCCAGTCCCCGCAAAGAGAAATTAAGATAATCAGCCAAACCAACAACATCCAGCCAGACGGCGGTTACGAGTGGAGGTAATATAAACTATCTGAAACCTTTAATTGACCTGTAGCCTGATGACACCTAGCAAAACCCACCACGACAACTAATAAAACTATCACAATAATTATCCTTGCGATATTCGCATTCAGGGTGAAAAATCCGGAGAAAGTTAAAGGTCATTTGCTTCTTCTTCAATCCCAGAAAATAATAAGCTCAAAATTGCATAAAGATACTTATCACACAACATTGTTATATTGTGTGGAAATGACATTTGTAGGAATCCGTGTCGAAATTGGATAATGCAATTGGTTTTGCTTTTGTGTACTGTTGTAATTACCACACAATGATTTTTGCAGTTATGAAGCCGAAAACGGGATCAAAGCGCAAGAAACTGGGACGCTGAAGAAGACGAAGGATCCCGAAAACGGGGACGTCATCGTCGCAAACGGGGGCTACTCTTACACGGATCCCGAGGGCAACCAAATTTCGCTTACGTATGTGGCCGACGACGAGGGCGGCTTCCAGCCACAGGGAGCGCATCTGCCCACGCCGCCCCCAATTCCGCCCAATATCAAAAGGGCGCTGGACTGGATAGCGTCCCAGCCGTCCACCACCGAAAGAGCGGGAAAACGAAAATAGGCTGAAATGGGATTCTTGTATGTGTATTGCTGTCGACCTTGCAAACGATTGTAAATATGCATGTTTCTGTGATTAAGTTATGTAATTGAAAATGACACATATAAGCAAACTCGGATGCAGGTACAGAGGAAACCTGTGGTGGCAGCAATTTCTGGATTTACTGCTTACGGACATTTATCATGACTCGGTTTCTACTTTATTTATATCCCTTGTATTATACTATTTCATAAAAAATAAATGCTTTATTTTGTGCAAGTCTTAACATCTTGTTTTACTCACTTATGATAATTTACACTTACAAAACAACTTTTTGTGGTTGCAGTTTTGACCTTTCAACTGCGCTTCATCTGTAATTAATGTTAACGCGCTGGTAAACATCGTGAGGAGGTGACAATCCGTGGTTTTACTACACTATTACTGCAAATACGAAGATAATAAATATAATGACTCTGTGGTTGTATGGGGTTTTAGTTTTATGATGCAGAAGTCAAAATTGATCAATGACTTACATACACATAAACAATGGGTCATTATTTTGGTGTACCTGTATCTGGAATGTGTTTACTTAATTAACTGACTATAACTATAAGAGGAATGTTAATGATTTTATATAAGATAAAAGTTTAGAATCGCTCACCATAAAATCACAGTAAACAAAAGGTGATAAAGATGAGAGCAGCACTTTTTACATGCATTAACTCTGAAGGTATTACATCTGTCACGAATTGTTGTCTTCAGGTTTTTTTATCTTGTAAACGACTTTAGTTTTCGTGTAATTGAGGTATATGTAAGGAACGTCAGTTTGACGAATGACTACTTTCATATTTTATAGATTCGTCGTATCTCGAAGAATATGAAAAAGTAGGTCTTCCAATTATGTTTGTCTGGCATACATAGTCTATTAGCATTTATAGACAGACAATCTCCAATATTACTGAACTGATTGTTGTGCAATTTACCTGTTTTAAGAGTATCGTAGTAAAAAGTTAAGCTTCTTTCTTTGTGGTTTAATAATGCATGCATGTTTTTAAACATTATGAATAAATAAATTTTAAAAACAAATTTTATAGCATCTTTTAAAGTCAAAAACTAACACGAATATTTTTTTTATAAATCTAGCAAAAGATATAAGGTTCAGTAATGTAATTTGAATTTTTTGTATTGTTAAACAAGAAATAATGTTTAATGAATTTGTTTATATTGATTAAATCACATATGGATTATTTATTTTTTCCAAAATTGTGGGATAGTATTTTTTATTTTATTTACAGACATGTTCATAGAAATAAAATGTGCAGAGTCAACTTTTATAATTTATATATAACTTGCTTCAATGTGCTTCAGGGACAAGGAAAGTTCGATCTAAATAACTTTAGATGCTTCGAGGGCTCATTTATTTACTTCCTTCATCGAACGACTGGCTAGCTACTTTCATATTTTCTCGTGTCGTGATCCGCAGAGTATGATAAAATAGGTCTCCCGTTTCCGTCTGTGTGTCTGTCCGCCGTTTGTGTCAATTTTTGTTGTGTAGAAAATCTTCGAAACTACTGGAGACCGAACTCAACTTCCTCTAGTCACCTCCACCAATAATGCGACGACTTCAAAACTGAACATAGTAAATGAGTTTTAAATTGTATAAGATAACATAGTCCTAGACGTGTAGTTTATGAATCCCTGTTGGGTTTTTACCCCAGATATATACATTTTTGGAAAAAAAAAAAATTGTATAACAATATTTTGCACTATAATTATGAATTTGCAAAACCGAATTCTTTGAAATCTTGTAGTGTACATTTTTAATCAAAATATACCGAGTGACATAAATAAAAGAACACCATGAAGGAATAATAATTTTGTAATAAAATTTTATATATAGGCTACGGATTGTTAAAATAAGATTTGTTTAGAATTTGCGTCACTCTAGACCCTGTGGAAGAAGTTGAAGTCTTAATAAAATCTTAACCCTTGCCATCCAAAATTTGATCAAAAATGTTTGGGATTTGATAGGCATTAAGCTACCCAATGTATCCCGCCCTTCAGAGTCTTCAGAAGGATTTCAGCACCAAGTATAGGCGGCATAAGATGAAATGTAATTGTACTTCTTCAGTGCACAAACAAAAATGTTTTTCTTAAAATCACTGGACCCATCACATTAAAATTCTTATCAATTCTTATTCTGACAACCTTTACTATGTGCACAAAATTTCATTAGAAAATCACGATTCCTTCTTGGTGTTCTTTTCCTTTTGAGACTCAGTGTATATTTGTCTATTTTATTACCCCTATTTTATTGGATAAATCAGGAACGGCTCACTCCATTTTCCGGAAAATTTGGCCTTCCACAAATGTTGATGGCGTCATCTCAAAATTATGGAAAGGAAAACCCATTTGAATACACACGTAGAATGTGTCTTTACATTTACTTCAATTTTTTAGTTTTCATAAAAAAAATTAAATACGCAAAATCAAACTTTACAATTTTTCTTCAATTTTATTGTGATTATTATTGCACTTCAGGGGTGAGGGAAGTTCTTTCGAAATAACCTTCGATCAATTTTTTATCATGGATTTAGATAAATTCCAGTTTAAGTTTTGAAAAAAAAAAAATGCTCTAAGATTATTTAAATAAAACTTTCCCGAAAATTTATAAAAATTGATTTTGCGAAAATTAGTTTTTTATGATGACCCCTATAAGTTAAAAAATATAGTAATCACAGTGTAAGAAAAAAAACTCTGAGATTGCCCTTATACTGGTATAAAATGTTATTATTATATAATTTGGGAAAGTTTGGATGCCTAGGGTAAAACTCAAGGTGGATTCATAAACTACAAATACAGAGGTATATTATTTTATCAAATTTAAACAGTATTTACCAGACAAAATTTTAAAGCGAAAAAGTGCAATATTTCAGTAGGAAATTCTGGATAAAGGGTAGGAGCTATCGAAGAAATGAGTACAAAACTAAGTTGTAAAGATCGAAATTTAACAAGATTTAATAATGCTTGTTTTGAAAAAAGGTATCAAAAAACTGCAGTATTTTAGTGGGCAATTCTGAAAAAATGAGACCAAAAGATGTCTTTGAATAAATTTCGAAAATTGGCCGAAATTTTCACAGGGAGGGGGGGGGGGGGTTACATGGAATTGTTGATGTGGCTAGTCAGACAAACTTAGAAGTTAGATTACTGAATTTCACACAGGCGGTTTGGCACTTCTGGAAATCTGTCTAATAACAATCGACATAGACGACAGATGAAGAGACAGACAGACTGATAAAAAGCACACGGAAACGGGAGACCTATTTTTTCGTATTCTAGCTGTCATGGAACGTGAGGAAACATGAAAGTACAGTCAGGAAGTAACATGACATTTTTAGAAAATTTTATTTCTAATAATAAGTACAAGAACTGGTTTTAGCAGAAAGTAATCTCATAACAACATAAAAAATAGCTGCTCTCCATTAAATTAAACAATTTCGAATACTTAATAATCATTATTACAACGAATTGAAAGGGTATGTGATGAAGAATCCAGCATATTTATAATACAGTTAGCACAATGAAAATGTAACTTAATGGCAATTTTACCATACACATATTATTTGAACACTCGCTAATTACTTATAATTATAAATTACAGAAAACCTGATATGAGTCTGATTTACAGACAAGGCAATCTATCGATTTTTCCAGCTTGAAATTATTAGAGAGATAACTTCAAAATTATGGAACCGATTCTTTTGAAATTTTAAGCATCCTTTAGAAGTCTGATGGAGATACGAAAAAGCTCATCTCCAAAACTTGATAACGTCATCTTAATAAATTAAAAAATATTTTAACATAATATTATTCTTTATTCCAGATTTAATATTCCATCCTTAGATTTAATTTTCGAACAGAGATTTTCCTATAAAAAACATATATTGATGAAGTCACATCAAAATTGTGTATAGTACTAGAAGATCACTTTAAATGCATACTGATAAAATTTTATGACATAAGTAGGATTATTTGGTTGACAATGCTGAGTCGGCTTTAAACTTGTAAGCCATGTTGCGTGCCTACAGAATTTCCTGTGTTGCCCCAAGCAGACGGTTTTTGGCGGTCGTATCTGTATAATTTATGCTTTTAGAGTTTTGCAGATTAGTTTCTTTGACTAAAGTTGTAAGATATTATTAGTATGTATTTAAAGTGATCTTAGTATAAAAATTTTATAAATTAACATATTCCTTCATTTGTGGTTTATGAATCCGTCTTGATTTGGTTTGTTATTATTATAATTTCTATTATTCAACTAAGTACTGGAAACATGGGTGATGGCTCAGTGACCACTAGGTTAGCTTGGCATCTAAAGGATCTCAGGTTCGATCTTCCAATAAGGGAAAAAAGACTAGATCTTTTTCCCTTACACTGTGACTAACTAGTTAAGATTATTTTAATTTATAATTTTTCCATAAAACTGAATTTGTTTTTCTTTGATTACAAAATGCTAAAATAATATTTTTGAAATCAAAAAATTAGGCAAGTTATCAATCGAATAGAAACAATTGTGAATTGTCCCCTTCGGCCTCTTATGCATTTATGGTTTATTAGAACAATGCATTTGAATCAATGTAAAATCTAGTTTTTTTTTTGTTTTTGGTATTTTGATGCGTGTGGTTGCTCTAACTGACACTTTATTTAGAATTGCCAATAAACAATTTATTTTTTTGTTTAAATAAAAAATGGCTACCCCGACTTTTCAGAAAATGTGTGAATATAGTAATGTTACTGTTATCCAAATTGAGATACGTGTCCTTGTTGAAATGGTCATCACAATTTTCTTGAGACATGCGAATAAAATCCTTCTTTGCCTTTATTTTACTACACAGATATCTTTATTTTAACTTATAGGAGTTATCATAAAAAAAGATCAAATTTTATAAATTATACTGCACTTCAGGGGCGAGGGAAGTTCTGTCAAAAAAACCATCGATCAACTTTTTAATTTCCTAAAGTAACGTAAGTACCGAGAGAGATTTGTATTTTTAGTCGCTGTTTTTTCACTTTGACCTTTAAAACTGACGGTAATCAGACAAGATGAAAATTATATCAAAGACAAATCTTCAAAAATCCATGGCTACCTTTAATCGCATTTTTCTAGCTCCCTCAATATTAACAAAATCGTAATACAAGCAAAGGTGTTTCATTAAATAGTCGTAATGTCAGCTCAGAGTGACTTTTGTAAAAATTTTAAACATAAAATATGAAAAACGGTGCCGATTGTCATTCTGTTTTTTCAAAATTTTAATACTACGAGTATGTCGCTTATCAAGAAAAATATGGCATTCTTTGAAATGAAATCGAACAGATAGTAAAACTTAACCACATAAAATAAATGTAACCTTTCCAAAAAAGGTGACTTCATTTAAAAATATTGTTAAATAAATCTCAGTTTAAAGGTGCAGCGTAATAACACGCTCGTTCATTTGTACAACCGATTTTATTTCTACTTCACGTTTAAAAGTTGACCCAAAAAACATTTAACACCATCAAATTTTACCATCTAGGTACCTTGAAGATTTCACAATTCTTCGTCATTTTGGGATAAGTACTAATGTTCACTTGGGGTTACACTAAACTTTATCAAAGAATCCTCCTGAGAAATTTGGGGAGAAATATTCGTTTGACATTTATTAGGGTTTCTGAAATGTCTCAAAAAAAGTTTTCTTTTTCTCATAATAGTTTTCTTATTTTATGTTTTAATCTTTCTGTACTATCGTATATAAGCTATTCAAAAACATTGTAAACATGGTAGATATAGCAATGATATCAGTTTTTGTGTGTTTTTATTTTTTATACCAGTCAGAGACCGGGCTCATGAGGGTAACATTCAAGTAATCACTACAAATGGTCACCGTTCGTGCTCAATTGCAGAATAAGGCTGTGTAGCTGTGTTATATTTTAATTGCATTAAATATTGAACGTATTTATTTAATTAAGTAGGTACTTTTATAATAAACGTTGAAGACTTGTAATTATTCCATTACTAATACGTATATTGTTGTTTTATAATTAAAACATCTACAATAACAGAAGACAATGTTTTGAAATATTCTTAGTGTTAACATTAAAACCTTAACCTATTGTTGTACCTGGTTAATAGTAATAGAACCATCTTTTGTATCTTCACAGAGAGTTTAACCTTGCCTGAAGCAAAAAATTAATCATTAAATTTTTCAATAGTGGCATTCAATAGACACGAATAGTGCACTGTGTTTATATCGCTAATTAACCGAGGGCACAACTATAAAATGTTTTTTATATCGCTAATGTAAGAAACGATACACAACATTGAAAGGATTTATAAATTGTTGCAACAGAAGTGTGCAGGATAGCATGATAGCTTGCCGATAGTGTAACGTTGCCTGCATAGGACGAACCCAAAAACGAAGAACAACGTGTTTTTCGACTCAATTCAGCTAGATCATTAATATAACCAAAGTCATTTTCTTTCCAAAGACAACAATTAAAAAATAAACAGTAATTATTATTTTACAAAATATGCTACAAGTGTTTTATAGTCAGGATGAATATATACGAATAATAAGAAAATCGTCTTGCGAAAGAAATTCCAGGTTGTGGTTTTGCCTTATACGCTCGTTTCTGGAAATAAAGCTTACCAAATGTACAAACCATCGATTAATAATAATTCTCACATTAGTTGTTCCATTTTCAAGGACTGTCTTGAAATTTCTAAATATTGTAAACTAAAATGAGTCAACTATTGGGTAAGCGAAAATATGTACTGTGTACATATAATAAAATATTTATATAATGAAAACTCAAATAGTTAGTTCTTTAGTAATAGATCAAACTTGTTTGATTTCTCATTAACGCCTTTACATTTTCGATTAGTAATGATAACAATTTTCTTATTAAAATTCAGCGTTAAAATGTTGTACGCAAAATGATGTATAGGCATTAAGAAGAGAAATCTAAAATTTGTAATTTCAATTTTGTAAGCACTTATCAACTGCGTTTTTAATTTTTAAGTTAACTCTACAAAATTCTTCAGTAAATATTTAACCTCTAAATTACTTATACATAATAAAGTAAATGAGAATCATGGAAAATACGTTTAATTGTTTATAAACAACCAAGATGAAATTACAGTAGAGACATCTTTACCGCCACACCATAAATGGAAAGTATTGTTTCTCTGCAACAGAGGTCTCTCAATATCTGCAATAAACACACAACATCCCAGATAAAATTTTGCACACTAGTACTTACGCAATTACATTAATTTGCAAATGTGTACACAAATGATACGAAATTAATTTCATCACCAGTCATCACCTAGTGACCCAGTGGTGCCTGATCTATGCGTCGAAAACAATTTTAACAACTAATTAATTATTTATTAATTTGATAATTTATTCGATAAATTAATTTAACCATTAGTTACTTGACTAATTGAATTATAAATATGTTTCGCTTAATAATTGAAACTCGGAGACGACACTTTCACTAAAGTTTCATCTTGTGAACGGCATTGTCAAGGAGACGCGTGCATAACCCATATGAAGGTGGAAATCTGTTTATTGCTATGGTCGTCCAGATTTTATCTGGCACCATTCCAACAATGTTATTGGTTTTGTTAAAAGTAACACATTCGACCTTAAAGAACAATGGTCGGAACCGGATATCTCGTTACAAAATTGCCAATTTTGTTTGCTGTAACGCTAACGCTTTTTATAACCGACAATAAAATATTTAACATTTAATTGACAGCTAGAATTTTGAACAAATATGTACACAGATATTACGCACCTTCAGCGGTTTATTTTGCATTGAGCAAACATGACTTTTTTTCTTTTTGCAGATGAAATATCGATCCACATAGTTTCAAGTTTGCAAGATTATGGACCGATTTTACTTTCAGCTGCAAGACGTCACTACGAATCTTCGCTTCACGTTATTTAAATTAGGACGTGTTTTATCGAATCGTGAAAGGTTCCACCGATTATTTCTGCCTAGAAAAAATTGTTCTCACTGAACAAATTGCAAAATATTCTCGAATCAAATGAAATCGTTTTGACATACTTCACCGAAATTTTGTGTTTACCGTTTTTCTGTGAACTTGACTTCTTTTTTTTTTCGTCTGTGTAACAAATTAACCAGTTTGTGAGAGTCATGGTCAGTTCTAAGATAAACCCTGAACTTCACGGTGTGATGGTACCTATAAATTTCACGGTGATATAAATGTCTGGAATTTTAATAATGAAATGTGGTGTAACACGACTTGGTAAAAATATCAGATGAACTGATTTAAATTCTATTAGGAACGTTCTTAGGACGAAAATGAACGTCGATTTAGGAGCAACCTTGCAAGGACATCGTACTTTCTATTATGAAACCGATTAAGTGAGATTACGTGTATCTATCCTTAGCTGTGTGATTTAAGTATTAAGCTTTTAAGTTTTTATAAAGTAATTATTCCTAAAATCAGCTCCAAAATAAAAGTTATAGATGTTACTTCCTTATTATTTGAATTATTATGTTTACCACATGGTAAAGTATTCTGTTATATTATTCTTGCTGTTTTCTTTACCAATCTCATCACAACTTTTAATAGTTTTAAAACTTAAGGGTGTGGTAGCTTAGAAAAACTAGCAATTTTTTCCAGTATTAACTTCAGAATTTGGATTTGTCTTAAATAACTTGGAAACTAAAAAGCTAAAATATTAGTACACAGTTAAGGTTAAAAAAATCCATAAACTCCTAGTATTTGTTTAAACTAAATATTTTACAATTCATGTACTTAAGTAATACAAAATGTACTAGCAATTCAAAAGAAATGATCCAATTTAAAGTAACTTGTGAGATAACAGTATTCCTATTAAAATTTTTGACCACTGTAGGATTTGTTTGTTCATAGTGGCACTAAATAACATTTTCATTATTAATGACTAGCGGCAGCACAGAACCACTAATTCAGATAAATTACATGAAAAAGATCATAAATATTTATTTAGTAATTATAGATATTTGAAAAGTTGAGTAATATTTATGTTTAACATTTTCAGTCTATACGTATGGGTTTAATGCAATTGTCATTCTCATCACTACAAAGTGGCAAAAGAAAACCAAGGTTACTTTAGTTATTATCTACGTAATACAAATTGATTAAGTTATTTATTGTACTAATAACCATAATACTCACACCTAACAGGACTATCTTACTCGAAAACTCCGTCTAAAATCACTATGAACATTCATTCATTGAAAAACGTACAACCTTTGGACATTTAACATTTCTGCAGTTAAGCCATCATCTATAAATAGCCAAATTCCAGTATCATCACTGCCTCTTAATATTAAAAACAAATCACTCATTTACAAAAAAACAATAAACAGGACTTTTTTTAATATGCAAAAGAGTACTTCTACCTGTTATTATGTAATCGAAGGAGGGACTTTTGTATAAATACTACCGAGAGACTATATGCGATTGTCCAAAATGATAAAACAGATTGTGTTCATCGCTACTCTGGTGGCTGTTGTTTCAGCAGCCCCAGCAGAAAAAGACCCAATTCCGATTTTAAACCAAGAAAGTGAAGTGGACTACAATGGAAAGTTCCATTTTAGTTACGAATCGGGTGACGGAAGTAAAGTGCAACAGGATGGAGAATTGAAAACCATCGACAAAGAAAACGCAGGTGAAGCCGTCCAAGGGTTCTACGAATATAAGGGCGAAGATGGCAAAACTTACAAGGTCAGTTATACTGCTGATGAGAATGGCTACGTTCCACAAGGGGAACATATTCCTCAGACACCACCCCTGATACAGCGCGCTTTGGCTTACCTGGCTACAGCTCCTCCACCAAAAGATTCCAAATACTGATTTCGTTACAATTTGTGAACTGCCACATATCTAGCTGTGTTTGTGATTTGTATATTTTGTTAACGACGCAATAAAGCTTTTTTGAAAAATGTTTGTGTTTTATTTTGTACTAATATTTGAAATTTGAAGTCTCTGAGGTAAGTTAGTTAATTTTCTATTGCCCATTTCTTCTTTATTCGCAATACTTTCTGTTTGTGTAATGTTTGTCTAGCGTTAAATTTTTAACGAGGTTACATCAGTTAGCACGTTTTATGGGAAAATATTACCAAAGGTTCTACAAATACTGCTTAGTATAAATAGCCAAAATACGTGCTTAGTGGTTGTAGTACAACTGTGCACTGTGTAGATTCTTATCAAGATGAAGTATCATCTAGTGAGTTCTTTAATTTTTAATGTGATTAATCAAAATGTGTTTTTTGTGTATCAAGTGTTTCAAAATAAACAAACAGTTTCAGACGGTGATTCAATTCGTTTTTAGGTCGCAATTTTTGCTTTGATAGCCCCTATCTTTGCTCGTCCTCAAGCACCCCCACAACCCCAGGCAGCCGCCCCCCAACATGCCCCTGTAGCAGCCCAGCCCCACCCTCAACCAAATGCGGCCAGTGGAGGTGCTACAACCCCTGTGACGATAGTCAATCAGGCTGAAGTTATAGGCCCCGATGGAAGTTTCAATTACAGGCAAATTGTAACCTAGCAAAAGACTTTATTCTAAACTTGTTGTACTTCTAGTTACGACACCAGCAACGGTATCCATGTTGAACAAGGTGGTTATGTGAAACAGGGTGCTCAGCCCAAATCTGTAGACCCCAACAACCCAGATGCCGGTGGCGACGTTCAAGTTATCCAAGGTGCCTTCTCATACACCGCCCCTGATGGACAAGAAATTTCTCTTAAGTCAGTTATTTTCCTTCACTAGATAAGCTAATGCAGTTGATTTTTTAGGTACGTAGCTGATGATAACGGGTTCCAACCTCAAGGGGACCATTTGCCTACTGCTCCACCAGTACCAGAAGGGATTGCTCGTAGTTTAGAACAGCAGCCACAGCAGCCTGGTCAACCTGCTGGTCAACCTGGACAGCCTCTGCAACATCAACAACCACAGGCATTAGCTGCCGCTGTCACCGATCATCCTAGTCCAGTCACACAAGTTTAAATTTGTGAATTGTGAAAGTATTTTAGAATAAGTTTTATTTTTAAAACGCTGAGCTTTATGTGGATTGGTGTGCATACGGAGATGTATTTTTGTAAAACGTGATTACATTTTCATTAATAAAATCATCTTTCATATTAAATGGTACTTAAAAGTGTTTTTTTATTAATATAAATAAGTAACAAAGTATAAAATATGTTCAACGTTAAACGTTGTCTTCATATTAATGATAATACTGATCGATGTACAGTAATACAGTTGAAGACGAATTGAGGTTATGTGTTACGATCATATCTGTTTCGGTCTTTTTTGCAACATTAGCAAGAAACAAATTATGCATCCAAAAAGTCCCAAGGTTCAACAGAGATTATATTTTATCTACAGTGTATTACTCAGAAAATACTACCACAGCTAAGAGAAACAAGTACTGTAATACTAGGTATATGATTAAAAAAATTTCTCATCAAGAATGGCGGTGAAAGGCAAAGCAGTAAAAGACGTAGGGCGCAGATCAATTGCCGTTTGTATTTAGTGTCATTTTTCTTATTGGTTTTTTAAATATGATGTTCATGTGTGCTCCAAATTAGGCCATACGTCTACTATTTTTTTTTGCACGTCATCATATTTTAAAGGGGATGAACAGATAAAATTTGTAGGAGTGTTGAAAAGCCTTTAAAACGAATTTAAAATTTCATTGTAGTTTATTTGTTGTGTAGTGTTCATGATTTACCTTACAATAGAGCCCAGAATTACAACATACCTCAAACTGCAAAACGACACACTAATTTAGTATAATTTACATATAATTTCAAACAACAAACTACTGAACATTTAATTTTCGTATTTTTTAGCACACTCCGATATTTTAAAGCATGAGTGAAATCTCTCATTATTAGGCGATAAACTAAGTTAAAGATAATAATTCTCTTCATTATAACCAACCAGGTGCAGTAAGGTAAGCTAATAGACATCCATTTTCTCTCTTCCTTTTATGCGAGACATTTCGAAACGAAATCTTTCCAAATTCTTCCATTATACACGTTGTAGGAAGCTTAATTATAATATTTGGAATATTTAAATTACAGATGCTGAATAATTTTATTTAAATTATTCCTACAGATGTCTCAGAAACTATTTAGTTCTTTCACTTTACAGAAAAGTAAATACAAAGGCGGATTTTTTTATTATATAAGACTATAGAAGCGTTCATCGTTATTCAACGAACTAATAAACAAAAAATAAACAGAAATCGTGATAACGAAAATAAAACAAGTTTCTAAAAATGCTAGAAAAAAAGATCATTTAAACCAGTCTTTTTCCTGAAAGCAAAAAGTTGTGCATTCCGCTTTTCTATTAAATTACGTAAACTTGCATAGCCGCAAATTAAATACTATATATTATAGTTTTTTGGGCAGTTTTTCCTAAATCCACAAACAATTTCATAAGAAGTTTAATCGCATATTACGTACATATTTCACAAATACTTATCACTATAATTGTATACAGTGTTGTTAGAATTATATAAAAATAAATTTAATCACGATTACTACTGTGCTGTTTAAATACGAGTAGTATTATATTTTGTATTAAAAGAAAACGTATTTGTGAATCAAGACACGAATAAACTTCATCACTTCCTGAAATCTGTAAAATATGTGGTGGTTTAAATGTCACTTTGATGCTTTAATTATGAGTTAGACATTAGATCCTGCATACTTTCCATTACAACATCATAGAGAGAAGTGTACGAAGTGCGATTTAAACACCAACTTTAGAAAAAACAAGTTAAAAGTAGTGCAAGTATTCTCTAAGCACGTATTTATTATTCGCACTTTTATTCATTTTCACATTAACTTTTCTTTTTCCTTGGGTTGTTTACACTTATTTTAAGTTATTTTGCAAGAATAAACGATTGGAATAAATTTTAATTTAACCATTCATACGATATGGAAGAATCTTGATTCTCTCACCGTATATTAATTTAAATGCACTGCTATTAGTTACACACTGGAAGATGCTTGAAAGTCTTCTAAAAGGTCATGACTAATGACGTTTATTGGTAAAAATTCGAACAAAAGTACGATTTTTGAAATAAACACTTGGTACTAAAAAATAAATTATATTAAAAGGAACTTCATGAAAAATAAAGTTCAAGGATAGGGAGTGAATAAAAAAATGTAAAGACAAACAAATTATAAATCACTTTATGGCAGTGCGTTGGGAATCTTAATAGAGAAGAACAAAAAACGTTTACCTTATTATATAATATAATTCATACATAACTAGAAAATAACAACAATTAAAATCCTAATCTCTAAAAAGATTAGTAAAATTTTAAATACGAAAATACAACTAGCAAAAAAAGTCAGGGGTGTAGAAATTTGGATCGTTGTATTGTTTACTAGTATTGTACTCCTAAAAGAAATATTTAGAAATTTAGTACTAAAATAGTGAAATTCATTTATCATCAATGCTTTCGTCTTTGGTTAGCTTATTATTACATGACTTTTTTTCAAAACCTGGTCTTTGTGTATGACACGTAATTAACTTTTCCCAGCTGTTTAGTTAATCGTTTTGTTGCAATACAAAAGAATTCTGTTTAATACTTTAATGACTTTAACATTAATAATATCTCAGATTGACGAAATTCTTTCGCCACAAAGAAAGGTGCCTATCATTTCTTCGAAAAACAAAGCCGTTTATTAAACCGCACACATAAATTCGTGAAAATGTCAGCGTGTACTATTGGTATTCAGAAAATTTTATTGCACAAATGGAGATGATGTTCACACACCCATAACATTTTTATGGGAATTGTATCATAATGTTAGACTATTTAAGGATGAGTGCTTAGAATCGTGGTGGCGCTCTAGAAGAGTGGAGCTGCTCCAGTAGAGAGGGTATAAATACAGATTTCTCTTATCGACAATTTGTATATGTGTTAGTCCCTCTCGAGCATCATCATGAAGTTTTTGGTAAGTCATACTTACCTTTCACTTTCCTGACCTCTGACTTTTGAAATTTCTAAACTGTTACATAAGGAGGATCCCACTTTCGTTGATTGTAGGTGGTGCAATTTCTAGATAAAGGTTAAACATTACGCAAGTAATTGTTTGATCTTCGGTGCATTTTTCACACCGATAACTAATAATCCAACCCAAATTAGTGCCCATCCTCTGTTTGCTATGGTAATGACTCGTCTTGACCCGTAAGGTTCTTGCTTCAGATCCTCACGAGTTTCCTAATCGGAGCGTGTCTCGCTCAAGGCCCACCACAAAGACGCCCAGACCAATACGAAGACGACCAGCAGTACCAACCGCGGCCGCAGCATCAGCCACAGCCGCAGCAGCAACAGAATCAAGACCAACGCCCAAGAGCACACGATTCCACCACGTTTATTCCCATCATAAGATTTGACAAGGAACAGGGCGCTGATGGAAGCTACAAAGCAGCGTAAGTACTTAATACAGTTCGCATTTAAATTTAGCGCCAGTTTACTTTTTCTCCAATGGGAGTGTAGCAAATTTTTATTCTCTGTACTAAAAACACGATTACCCATTAGTAATTAATTTATTCCCGTAACGTACACAGTTGTCCCTAACAAATGGAAAAAATCTAGGAAGATAAGGAAAAAATTTGAAACTGTCTTGTTCATATTGTCAAAGTTATGACGTCGATAACTTTTTGAAATGATAACCCCATTTGTCTATTGTATTTAAAAGAAGTTAAGTAGCTAAGTATAAACTGTATGAAAAAAAGTATGTTAAAAAAGAACAAAAATGTGATAGTAGTTACTCTGAAAACACTTAAAAGATATACAATTTTTCATATGAAATATATTAGAACTTGATTAACACTGATGAACATTAATAGTACCGCTTCTGTAACTTGCAAAAATTTTATTTTGTTACGCCCATGTAAAAATTTATTTATGACGTCATAACTTCGAAAACCGCACCCAAAAATGATCAGAGTCAAACCCTCCACTAAATTAAATTTCGTTAACTACCCAAGTGTACGACTAAACGCACTTTTTTTTATTTGAATACAAGGATAGATTTTTATCTACATATTTGAATACAGAATATCTACAAATTTTTTAGATAGAACAGTTTGATTAATTATTGTTAATTATATGCATTATACAAAAGAACGTAGTGAAAGTGATCACCCATTAATTTAGGGCTAAAAGATATCATTTAAAATTAGGTTTATTTCCTGGTTAATCTATTGTTAAAACTATTATTTTTAAACTGAATACTTATGAAGCGAATTTCTTATTTCTTATTAATATATATTTTTTTGTAGATGGGAAACCGGAAACAACATTATCGCCCAAGAAGAGGGTTACATTAAGGATTTGGGACCAGATCCAGACTCCCAAGGCGAAAACCTAAACGCTCAAGTACAACAAGGATCTTACACTTACACATCTCCTGAAGGCCAAGTCATTACAGTAAATTACATTGCTGATGAAAAAGGATTCCATCCCTCGGGAGATCATTTACCCACCCCACCACCTGTTAGTCCAGAAGTACAAAAAGGCCTTGATTTAATTTATGCTGGAATTAAGGCCCAACAAGTAAGATCTTTTTTACTTAGGGTTAATTACGACTAATTTGGTTCTAATTTTAGGAAGCTGACGAAAGAGAAGCCCGTGACAGACCCCAAGGACCTAGGAACAATGGGCCTCCACAGGAGTTTAATGGACAGTTTCGACAGTAATTTATAGAAACATTCTGTGATTTATTTTTTATGTTCAATAAGTAATTTTAAATAGACTGAATAATTCGCTCATTTAATTTATCCATTATTATTAGCTGATTATTTTTTCCTTGAAAAGAACTTAAATATATATTTCCTTGTACATAATAGTGTGTTCTTAAATTTGGAACAATTTAAGATTAGATCAAAAGTTACACCTAGAAATTTCAAGAAAAACGCCGGAATACGGACAGATTAAGGTATAAATATCTGCTTATATGTTTAAACGACAGTTTTAGCAACAAAAAGCAAAATCAATTAAATAGTTAGAACTACATTAGAGTGCATTTGACTGTTTGCTTTGTTCCAGCTTTACAATTAGATATTTGCTACAATATTTGCTAAAATGCACCGTTACTGATTTATCTCCATTAAGTTTGTTTGCAGAAATATGCATGTTTAGTTGATATTTATATTTAAATTTCTCATTTATTTAATGAAGAAAGTACTTAGACTACTTTTGACGAAACTAGGATTTGAGGGGACTTTTTAGCGCCATTAGTCGTGTTAATTCTAAGAGAGTAATAATAATAAATACATATTTCATTTTAGACGAATGTGACTTGTCACTAATTTCAAATATTAAATACTTTAAATCTGATTTTGTGTTTGATTTTCATTTCTAAACGGTCTTAGTAAAATATTGGACACAATATAACAGTGTCTAGATCACCACTGGTTTTCGTTAGACCCATCTTTTTCTATTTCTTCACATCCTGCAAATATATGTTTTTCAACAAGACAATGTGCAACCACATATTGGTAGGGTTACTCTAGAGTGTAGACCCTTTAAAGAAGCTGAAATCAATCTTTTCTCTTGTCCTCCAAGATCTGTTGACCTATCCCCAGTCGAAAATGTTTGGGATAGGAGGGAACTTTGGAAGGACCAAGTATAGGTAGCATGGGCTTAAATCTCCCAGGAAGACATCAATGATCCCATGAATATACTTATACACTTTCAGCGCACACATTAAAAAAAAATTAAAACTGCTTGAAATGTTACACTGAAATTCTAATCAATTCTTAGTTTGACAACCTTTAGCTTGTCGATAAAATTTCATTATAAAATTTTCTGGTGTCACTTTTGTTACTTAGCATACGAAACTCTGTACTTCTTCTAGTTTTGTACCCTTTAGGTTTCCTTGATTTTTTTTCTCCCTGTTGCTTCTTATCATTGTTTGTATTTATATGGATATTATCTTTTCCTCTTTTTTACTGAGTATTCTAAAGTTCTCGTTATCGTTGTTTCTAGTTGAGATCTTTATCTTTTTCTGTGTTATCGTACAGCGAGTGGTCAAAGAAGATTTTTTGTCATTTTGTTTCCCTGCTTCTTTTATACTTTGGTTTAAGAAATGAATCTTCAAATAGTAACGGGCTCAAAATGCATCTTCGCCGAACTCGTTTTGTTGTTTCAAAGTACCCTGACTGTTCATGTTTCATTATAACATGATTTCTTCTTTTTCTATAATTATATATTTAATTGTTGTTTCTTCTATTTACCTTCTGTGTAATATTTCCCATATTTCCGTCAGTCTACCCTGTCGAGGGCCTTTACAATTTTTGGGACGTGGAGCTTAACCCTGTATACATACACATTAAAATTTTGTAGCATTTGTTACGAAACTAAAGTTATTATTTTTTTCAAAAATTCATTAATTTTGGGTCAAGAAATACTATCAGTGCAAAATAGCAGAGCTAATGCATAACCATTTGTTCTTATTAAGTTGTCGAGTACCCATATAAGCAGTAAAAAATGTGAACTTTTACATATTTGTTGTTTAATCCTGTTGAATACATGCATTTAAATATGTTTTAAAAAATGTTCTCTTTCATTTTGCTTTGACAACTATTTTCCTTATTTCGTCTGCCTCCGGTAAGTATTATTACAACACAAGTTAACTAAAGTACTACCTAAATATACCTACTTATAACTGCATTTTGGCCCGAACACCCTTATTTTAAGCTAAACAAGATTCATCCTACTACGACGATCCTGGTGCCTGTTAGAACAACAGCGCATTTAAGGACCAACTAACCGATAATAAAGCTTCACACAAGGTTATTTAGAAGCTCCTCTCTTAAAAGCTCAAAACGCAACCAACAATACACTTGTGTACTAGTCGTTGATTTACTATCAGTATTTTTTTAAATAAAACATAATTAGCTATTTGATTTTGGTAATTTGGAAATAAACATCAGTTTTTACAAAGCAAAGCAAAAGCAAACAAATTCAAAACAAGAACTCGTCTCCTATACGGATATTGTTCTCACTACAAATTTGAAGTAGTAGCCAAATTTTCTCTGCATTCACCATATATCAAAATGTAACGATGCAAATTTTGGCGGGCCGAAAATCGTGATAAGGGTACCAAGAACAAGGAGTTAATCCGGAACCGCCCCATCGAGACAAACCGGAAGATGCCTATTTCTGTTCAGGAGAGAGTCCTGAAGTAGTTCCGTCCAGTGATGAACCACCGCCAATGAGGTAAAATTTTTTATTGTACCCGTATAGCTCGTGGTAGGGAATAAAGACCACTTATTTTTACATTTGAATCAGAGTATTATTTATAACGAGACTGCGCCTCGAAGTATTCCCTTTCCGGAGAGAAAACTGGCGTCCGAGCAAACCGCCCCGTCGAAGGCGCCAGCCCCGTGAGGTGAAAGCGACCACATCGTCTAGACCGGCCAAACGTTTCTCAGCGGTACTAATTGGTCTGGGCACCACCCCCAAGATGTCGGGGAGACCTGGACGGTCCCTGATATAAGTCTTTTTCGTTATCTGAATACATTTTGTATCAAATCTGCCAAAATTTCAGTTGTAACATATTAGTAACTGACATTACTTGAATGTTGTTATTATACATTAAAACAGAGAACTACGTACCAAACATGCTTTTGAACTTGTAGTTTTGGCTGCGCGTTAAATTTTTTAGGAGCGGAGTGGATGACACACTTGAACATAAAAACATATTTGAAGAAATACTGGCAGCGAATGTCGTAGGGTAGTGGAAATACTCGTATCTTGACGAAGAGGTTCAACCGAATACCTCTGTTAGGGATGGGTTGGGACCGAATGGGCTCAAAATTAATATATAAGAAAACATAGAATGATAATTCAGAAGAAGGAGCCGATGTCGATGCTACCAGAACAGATGGTGGTTTAGGTGCCGGCATCTATTCCGAACAACTGAACGCACAAATCAGTGTAGAGCTAGAATAGTGGCTCAAGCACATTCAGGAAGGTGGTTGTCTTGACGAGTAGAGGAGCGGAAAGGCATCGAAATATGAACCTGGAGAAGGCACAATGAGTCCAAAGACGAGATCTAAGTGCCGGCTGGCTACGGTCAGCCACTATATGATTAAAATCCAGAAAAGCCACAACACTAGCAGGCAAAAAAACACCAGGGGATATGAGCCAGGAAGAATTTGTTCTTCTAAAGTCTAATGCTGCTACATGAGTAGTAAGAGAGGGCAATTAGTGCATTTTTAATTGCTTTTTAATTACCAGCGCGGCAAATTAGCGAGGTCTTAATGACCAGCGGTGCAAATTAGCGATGTCTTAATCAGCAGCGCTTTCACCCTTAATGACCAGCGCTGCAAATTAGCGAGGTCTTAATGACCAGTGCTGCAAATTAGCAAAGTCTTAATTACCAGCGCTGTAAATTAGGAAAATATCTAAATTACCAGAGCTTTTCAACCCTTAATTACTAGCGTATTATTAATTTGATAACGAGATTAAATAATTCATGCATTTATTACACAAAATAAATGCATGAATTATTTACTCTCGTGATTCCCAAAATGTCAATATTTTTATTTAATTCCTTAATTTATCTAAAATAATTTTAACAAACCATAATGGTAACTAAAAGGATATAATGACGCTGATAATTTAGATATTTTGCTAATTTGCAGCGCTGGTAATTAAGACTTCGCTAATTTGCAGCACTGGTAATTTAGGGTGAAAGCGCTGGTGATTAAGGCATCGCTAATTTGCAGCGCTGGTCATTAAGACCTCGCTAATTTGCCGCGCTGGTAATTAAAAAGTAATTAAAAATGCACTAATTGCCCTCCCTTACTACTCCGCCCTGCTTCTGGGTGTTGTGTAATTGGGCCTCCGGTCTGTTGGGGACGTAATTGAATAAAAAAAAATTAAACAATCCTACCAAATCAATCCCATGATAGAATATCGCGTACTTTGAGGCTGTTCATCAGTGTAAAAGGACATAGGCGTTTCACACTTAAGAAAAGTAAAAAAACTTAAACTTCGACCAAGATGAACTTGAACCAGCTCTGAACCGAATGATGTTCCTGGGATATTCCTTCGGCACCAACCTACCTCCAGCAAGTAAAAATGATCTCAAGTCAAATTATTCAATTGCATTTGGATAACCCGATCGCTTCATTCAATTTGGTCGAAATCCATTGTCATACATACCTATCCTAAAACCAAAATTTGATTACTTTTAACCATTTTTCGTAGAGACCAGTCTCCTTAGGTATGTGCAAAATATTTGAAAAATTCTCAAAAGCCTACTATGTTATCTTGAAACAAAAAATCTGAACCGACCTGACCGAACTAGATCTAACTTGATCTGACGTGACCCGACCTGACGTGATTTGATCTGATTTGACCTGATCTGACTGACTTAACCTAACCTTTTTTTGGCTCTATACCGGGATCGGAACCAAAGTTTTCTCGACTAAGACTTCGCTTGTTCAGGATCTTTTCCTTGTTTTAGTAGCAGTATGACTTTTGCGACCTTCCATACGCGGAGAAACGACCGTTTCTTAAGCTGGTCATTTATAACGCCTAATATCCAATCGGTGTTTATTCTTACGATTTCTTTGATAACCTCTGGTGGCACACCATCTAATCCAGGCGCCTCACCACTTTTCATTTTTTTGGCCACCAACTCTAGTTCCTCTGTATCAAAAGGCGTAATTTGTGGTTCCTTCCACTCAAACGTTCTACAGCTGCTGTTTTCTCTGCCTACATCGAATAGTTTTGGTATAATGGCTTTCGTTATATCATCTG